CTTCCAGAGTTTGATTTGGGCAGCAATGCGCAGAGAGTTCCATACCTTGGAAGATCTGAAAATATAAATTAATACCACTATACAAAACATAATTCTGAAAAGTCAAGGCATCAGACAATGAAAGAACTGTACAGTGATGAGTTGTTTGCACAATTTCCAAGTACTGCTACTGATAATTTGATGCTAGTGTGCTAAAATAACCATTTATATCAATACTAAAGAACAGCTTGACAAGTTGCTCAACATTCCTCATTTTAATGCAGTGATAACTGCAGGCTTTTTCGTGTAAAGACAATATTGTGACTTTAATATTACGACTTTATTTTCATAATATTATGACTTTATTTTTATATGACTTTAATGTCATAAGATTATGACTTTATTCTTCTAATAAAAAATTAAATAAATCTTGTTGTGTGGCGCTAATACTCTGTCGTACTATGTAATTATTTCAAATTACCTTTTTAAAGATCTTCTCGTGGTTTACCTGGTGCTTCTCAGGTTGATCTCTCCCATAAGTCCGTGTTTCGGTTCTTATTGGTCTCTGCAAGTCTTGGAGAGGTAACTGTGTGGTTCAGCGTCATCCTGCCTGTGACTTATCAGTCGGAGTGGTTTTGTTGCCCTCTAAGGTTGTGTTTGGTGTGTTTTCTGTCTGTTTGTTTAGGAGGTAGTGGGTGTGTCCAGGTTCAGACGACTCATCTGCTTCTAGCTTTGACGGTGCTGGCTGGTGTCCGGTGGAGGAACCATGCACACTGCAGGTAATTATTTTGGCAGCTTTAGCCAGGGTCGGTCTGGGCAATGCAAGTGGCCCATGAAAGTCTGGTTCCCACTGCTCCTCAGTCTGCTGGATAGGGAGCTGTGACGGCTTACGGTCAGGGCAGACCTGTTATCTTAGATTGAAGGGAAGGTTTGGCATCTGTCTCCAGACCACCTTCTCATGGTGTCTGCTGAGGGGGGCTGGCAGCCTCTAGCAGGTCTGAAGCCCTCCATTCAGCAAATGCTAGAGCTCCTTCTACAATGAGGACTCATGCTCATTGTTGGCATGGTTTTTCGGCATGGTGCAGGCACAAGGGGGTAAACCCAGTTTCTTGTTCCCTGCAGGACATCCTGAGGTACCTACAAGGTCTGTTTGATGCTGGACGGGCTGCATAAACCATGAAGGCAGACATTTCGGCCAATCATAGTGACATTGATGGCAGATGGGTGGGGGGCACATTATTGGGTGATGCAGTTTCTCCATGGTGCAAGGAGGCTGCATCTCCTGTTACAGAGGCCACCGGCAGCATGGGACCTTCCACTGGTGTTAAAGGCCCTTYGTGGGTCGRCTTTCAAGCCAGTGRGTGCTGCCCCASTGWATCTGGTGTTTATGAAAACTGCCTTCCTTTAACAGTGACTATAGGTAAGTGGGTCAGTGAGCTCCATGCACTTGCTATCAGCCCAACTTGGCTGCGTTGGAAGGCAGATGGATCGGGGTCAACATTATGGCCAAACATCGCCTTTTCTCTTAAGGTTCTGAGTCCAGGCTAAGTAAACACAACCATCAAGCCGGGGGTATACTGCTGGTCACACTGGTCACCTGGAACTTCTCCCAGGAGAACGAAGGTAGTCTTATGCCTGCTCCTTATAGACGCATGCCCAGGTGGGCTACATYTCTATGTGACTGTCAGAAGTGTTTTGTCGATTTAGAACTACTGAAAGCAGAAAAAGGTTTAAAAGGTTTATTAATACACTGTTTTGCGCTGGACCTCCGGACCCTCGGGATGGCACMAACTGCGGAGCAGAAGACTGATGAGTTTCAGGACTAGTGAAGGAGGATTTGCAAAAACAAAAGAGTGGCTACTGACCTTGCAGCTGCGGATGAAACAGACTGGGTAAGTCCGCTGGGGATGTTGGTCCATGTCCAAGAGGAGYAGCGAGTGGGTTACGGTAATCCAGTAAGTGGTCTGAGGTCAGAGCTCCAAATCACAATCCAAAAGGCAGGGTCCAGATAACAGAAACGGTGTCAATAGGCAGGGTTCAGAGTCAGTGTGAGAATCAGGCAGGAGGCAGGCAGTGGGTCATTAACAGGAGTTAGGATATGTTGAGATRATCTGTCAGATGATCTCAAGCTGGTTGCACCATCAGGGCACAAAACTAAAAGTAAATCAATGTTGCAACAAATATCAAAGCATTACAATGTATTTAAACCTGAAAATACATACATATATGTACTGTACATTTTACAAAAGTACACAATTCAATAAATAAACGAAGAGAACATAACCTCCCCTCCCACTCACCCCCTCCKCAATTGTAGACAAAGTTACACCCTTGGTTTTCAAAGTGACTACARGTAGAAAACTGAAATAATTCAATTCATAAACCTTTATTGGTTTTTTTGTACTGTACGTTGACGAATTTTTGATTAAATTTAAGGAAAAGGGGCAGAAATCATAAAATTATTTTCTTCTTCTGCTACCCTTCATTTAATTTGATTTGGGGGTTTTTTGTACGTTGAATTTTTGTTGTTTTGTTTTGAATGAATAAATGAATACAAATTTAATTTAATTTAATACAAATGTAAGTTTACCTGCTGTTTATGCATTCATATATTTCATGTGGCTTTTTGTTTTTAAAAACGAAAAGAGCTGGTTTTGGATTCAAGTCCAAGAATCAGGCTTTTCATGACTTCTTATAAAGATTAGAGGCTGAATGTTTTCTAAAAATGAGAACAAAAAAAATGAAATGACATTTCTGAGCAGTTGTATAGCCACTCAAATGTCAAAAGCTTTGGGATATTTTCAGTATTTATGAAGTATTTAAAATAAATAACTGTGCAGTATTTGTGTCTGTAATTAAGTTTTAAGGCCCTTTGCTGGGGGTGTGCAGAATACTGTGAATAAATATCAATATACATATTACTGTATATCTAAAAATGATACCATGTCTGGTATGTTGTGTCTGTACTCTCACTCTGTCCCAGGAG